ATGTATTATATCAAGCACAGTATGAATATAATATCATTGTAATATAACAGTATTTTAACCGAAAACTATTAAAAAAACGAGTAACATCTCTTGGACATTGGAAGGTTAGGTGAAGTCTTTTGTTTTCCTCATGTATTTTATCCTATTTTACATTGAAATACATCACGTTTCAGCAAAATTACTATTTATTTCTAAGAATATATTCATTCAGGCGCAGTTTAGGTAAAATATACGTGTGATGTAACATTTTTTTAATTGAAAACGATTCGAAAAACACGTACCCTCTTGCCCTGTTCAAAGAGAGGACTGGGAGAAGCTGTGTCGTGCTGCAGACGGTGGCAAGGAAAATGATTTGGAATGATTTTAATGAAAATATTCAGAAATATGGTATCGTAGTATTTATTCAAGTCAATTAGGATAGAATATTATTATAATACAACAGTAGTGACGATGTGGAGGAGGCGGAGGGATAGAGCGGGTACGAGGCGGAGGGATAGAGCAGGGAGGAGGTGACTGGCGGGAGCAGGGACGAGTGGAGATGCCAGCCAGTACATTACGGGTGTATTAATTGTTTTTATAGCTATTTTTGCATTTTAATGTTAAATACTGTACATTACGTTTCAACAAAAGTACCATTTATTTCTGAGAACATGGAAATGTAATATTTTTGCTGAAATGATGTACGTATTACAGTGGAAAGTGACGAAAGCAATGACTTTCGCTTTCTTTTGTTCAAAAGATGTTACCGTAATCGCTTTTCGAATGGTTTTCAGTTGTGGGATTATAAGGCTAATGATAGGATAAAATATTATTGTAATACAGTACGAGTACAACAGTTTTTTAACTGAAAACCATTCGAAAAGCGATTACGGTAAAATATTTTGAACAACGAAAGAGAGCGAAAGTCTTTCCTCATGATTTTATCCCACTTCCCACTATAATATGTACGTCATTCCAGCAAAAATATTACATTTCCATATTTATTTCCGAGAATATATTCATTCAGTCAGTTAAGGTAAAATATACTTGTGATGTAATTTTAATGAAAATCCAGTATCGTAGTTTTCTCTTGTTTCAAATTTAATTAACAAAGATTGATGTTTCAAATGTATTGAACAAAAATTTATGTCCAGTATCTATAAATTAACTTTAATAAATGAATACTTTGTTTTACATCGTCCTGTGCTACCATACCATGGATTTGGCTACTTTGGGCTCGCAAGAGATCTGCCCTGGCAACTGTACCGACACTCACAGCGGGTGGTGTGTTGGTGCATCGTTTCCATTGTTTACTGGTAGTTACTGGTAAATATTTTTCAACCTAACGAAACTATTACCCGTTTAGAGGTCGACCCCCAATTTTTGCCAAATAATTTGGTCTTAAAAACTCGAACTAAACACAGGTATATACGGTAAATAAGGACATGGGGGGCCAGGGATTTTTTAGGGGGGGGGGCAGCAATAGTACACGGATTTTTAACATTCGCGGGTATCTCTGTTACCTAACCCCCGCGAATATTAAGGGCCGACTGTACTGTATGAAGATTTGTATAGACAGACAGACAAGAGTATATGCCTCTTCCATAATGGTGGCGGGGCATAAAAGTACGTACGATGTGCTGTCTATCGTCGAGGATCTCTCTCAGACCACCACCAGGAGGTCCCAGCCACCACCTGGCCTCCACCTGGTTGTTGCCGCCTGAAGAGTGTTTGGACAAGAGATCTCCTGACGGCCGCCCGGGATTAAAGCCTTGAGTAGTTTGGTGATGAGATTGACGCCACAAGACGTGTGTGATGAAGGCTTCCTATATGGTTACGTTAGGTTAGGTTACATGACGTTAGGTTAGGTTAGGTTTAAAGCTACTAAGCTGACTGAGACATGTATAATGATCGCTTCCTACATGGTTTATATCCTCCAGCCAGACGAAGACAGAACAATATGAATCGTAAAGATAAATCAGAGAAATTGAACAAGAATAAACATTGAAATAAAAAAATAAATACAATACAGTAGTAACGAATGACAAACCTCTCCTACACTACCTCCAACACACACACATTCTCTCCCTACCTGTCTATCTCCTTTTCCTACTTACCTGTCTCACTCTCTCTCCTCCTTTGTTCCTCTTCCACCTATTCCTGGTTAACTCTCTCTTTCTCTCTCTCACTCTCTTTCGCTCTCCCTTTAACTATCTTTTTCTGTATCTCTCCTCCTCACACACTAAAAAATAACAATATGGCGTCAGAATCACGTTGAAACTGTACCTTTAATCACCTGCCTCCTGTAATCACCTGAGTAAGATAACAGGATATAGCACTAACGATCCCAACTACCTCGTTAAGGAAACAGCTAGCATTATCACAATAGTACTAATAATCTGTGGTTATTTACAAATCAATTGGGGAGTTTGTCTGTCTGTCTGTCTGCTCCCATGACCCAGGAGACGGGGCGGCGGCCTTCCGGGGAACGCCAGGGGAACAAGAAACCCTCCGACACCTCCGCCCCCTCCCGCACCAGCAGCCTCCTGCCTAGTCCCGTCGTGTGTGGTGACGAGCCCAGCTTCGTCGCCCTCTTCCACAACGGCAGCTCCAAGCGCCTTGCCGACGGCTACGACAACAACACCCTCAAGTATAACGGTACGGCCAGACAGCAGGAGAACGGCGGCGGTCGCCTGGGCCTGGTGAACGGCGAACGGTCGTCGGATTCCGAGGACTCTGGCGCCACTTCGGGTGCCACGAGCCGGAAGGAGGCAAGTCCCGGCTACGAGGAGAGTTCTGGGTCCGAGCAGAGCAGCAACCCGCCGCTGTCAGAGGATACCCGGGGTGATGATGACATAGACCCAGCTCCCGCCCCGAGAAGAATCAGGGCGTCTCTCCCCAGATCACAGACGACGCCCGTCTTGAACGGTGACCACACCCTGGATGACACCCTCAGGCCGCTGACCCACTATGGGCAAGATTAGTGAAAACACGAGGTTCAACAACGGCTTGAACCGTATCCGCGCGGCACACAAGATTAACGTTAGCAAACTGGCTTACCTGGAAGCTTTGTTTCAGCGCGCCACGCTGGAAGAAATACGACTAAAAAGTCTGACATCGGACAGTCGTACTAGTGAAAAACGGACACACAAGTCATTGAGCAAAAGCTTACAGAGCCCCGAGAGTGGCTACAAGTCGTTGCCGTCGTCAATATTGGACTACAGGCTTAGGAGCTACTCGTCCTCCAACATCTCTGCTAATGTCAGTAACAGCACTTGCGGATCAACATTACTGGATGGCCAGGCGCAACTAAGAACCAAAGAGAACTGTCTCCAGCACGCTAGACCACAAGACAAGAACAGTGGACGGACGCTGTACCAGTGTGGGGGCAGCAGCAGTGTGGGCAGCCTCAGTCGCTTGACGGGACTCAGCCCTGCCACCAGCGGGACCTCCACACCTGTTAGGTTTGTGTCTCCCTCACGGAGTGACGGTCACGCTGTCTCGAAGGGGTCCTCTGCCACCACTCCCAACAGTACCCCCGCCACCACCCCCGGGGGTACGCCCAAACGCCCAGATGGTCTTCGGCATCCCAGCGGCCACGTTAGCCAAAGGTCGCTGCCTCATAGCTACCGCAGCCGCTCGGCCTACAGCTCTCCTGCTGTAATTTATTAATTGTTAACAATATATTCATCCCACTTGAGCCAAAGCCATTCAGTGGTGTGTGGACAAGTTATCAAATGACCAAGATTTAAGAAGTAAATGGAATTAGCTATTGTAAATAAGTAGCGCAGTAATTTAACAGTAAAAAGATTTTCAAAATAAAATTGTTTGTGATATAAGACATCAAGCTAAATTTATTGTTTTTCAGTTTTTTGTTAGGTGACACTGACACCATATGAGTGAGACATGAATGTGAACAAACCTGTTGCAGTGCTGCTCCAAAATATGGGCCTGGGCACTGTAATAACAAAGTTAATGATTCCCTCATTTCTGCAAAACAAATAAAAACAACTATTTAACTTCTTTTATATAAGATAGATACTAATGTTAGATTAGAACAAATGCCAGTAGATATGATGTTTTTATCAAAATGTTATACTGTTTGTAATTTAAATACAGTAATTAGCTAGATACATCAAACAACCCATTATATTACCTTATATTAGTCCAACCATCACATAGTATTGCCACACTAGAAGCTGCTGTTACTTGTTCTTTAGCTGTTGTAACAGTTTCCTCATATACTCTCTCAAGAAGAGAGTTTGACATCGTCACGGTTAGGAAGTTTAAAAGCTGGCTGCAATGTTTCAAAAAAAATTTTCCAGTGGGTGTTCAACCATTCTCAATGAACATCCTGTTCCATAAACAGCGCGAGCTACTTCAAGTTGAGACTGATCCTGTAACAGAAAATAAATATTAGAGGATAGTTTCAAGTTATTTAGATTTATGCAAGTTGGATCAAATTCTAGACATTTAAAGCTGTGAAACTGTAACTCATTTTTTCAAAATCCATAAATTATACAAGAATGATATTAACGGCATTATTTTATAATGCTCACGATCTGTTCATTCGTCATCTGATCCTTGTATATGTAAGAACTAATTTTGTTCTTCTGGGGTGTCGCTGTAAACAGGGATTTTCTCTTTACTTGTGAGGAGGAACTTGGTCTTGAAGGAGGATCATCTGGTGTTGTTGGTCTACTTGAGGTGGGTGTTGTCGCTCTGTATGTAGATGTTGGTGTAGTTCGAAAATATGAACTAACAGGTGGATGGTCCTTCTCTGCACACTCCAAAACACTACTAGTTGGTTTAGGTGACTTAGCAGGTATTTTGACATCCATTGCTTTTGGTGAGTCAGGTGACTCACAAATAGTTTCCTCATCAGAATCACCTTCCTCTGTCTTTTTTTCAGTATTTAAATACAGTCAACCCTCACTTTACGCGGTTAATGTAACCCACAGGGTCCCGCGGAAAGTGAGGAACGCGTAAAGTGAATAACATAACATATGGGATTAATTGAAATAGAGTCCGGGCCGACCCCCAAACTCCACTTTTTGACGACACACAACTATGCTGTAGTAAAAATTTTATCTTAACTTTATGATGGTATGAAAAAACAAATAATATAGAAGAGGTTAGGTTAGGAAAAATAAAGGTTAACATAGGAAAAATAAAGGTTAGAAAACTAAAAGCTAGGTGGAACACTTATGTTAGTAGACGAGATGGGTCGGCGTACGGGGATGGAGGCTGGTTCCGAGGCAGAGGGCAGGCTACTGGCACTCAGGTGAATCACCATTACTAGGTGCATCACCATCACTGTCACTTACAGTTGTCAGGGCTATCCTGACAAATCCCTCAAAGTCATCTTCACTGTCACTATTGTATGTATATTATGTATGCTGGACTATATATTATGTATGTATATTATGTATGTGCTCCATTTGTATTATTTATTCAGCCTAGCTAGCAGCGTGTGGCAATGTTATTACCATATCCCACATGCTTAATTAATGTGCCTGGCGACGTATGGAAGCTGCTAATGTATCACTTGCCATACGTCGTCTATAGCAGTTGACAAGGAGCCTAGCTGAGGAGTGCTACCCCCCCTCTGTGTACATACTCTTATCCAGTAAACCGAACCTACAAAACTATACAGGTGTTTGTGTTCTCTCCTGTATATAGAACTTATTACCCAGAACACCTAACATGGCGCAGTGCGTAGTCTTACTGGATTATTACGAGTGATTAGTGCAAGTTTGTGGAAAGCCGGCTTATGCGGCTTATGACTCCCGCCTTTGTGTCAACCCCGCGTCATCCCTCGAAGAATTTCGCAACTTTGAGCAGTGTCAGTGACAGTGATTTTCTGTGAAGTGTTAAGTGCATTGTGTGTTTCGTGCCATTCATGTGTGACCTTGTTCGAACGGATTTCCAAGGTATACGGCATGTTCTGGGCATTTGTGGGGTGTAGAGCTCAGCGCACCCTCCTCTGACCGTTTACAGAGAGCGACTGAGCTACTCCTGTCTCCACCCCCCTCCCTCACAGCGCCGCCTCCACCCCCCCTCACAGCTGGGGCGAGACGCTCTGCCTGCCTGGGACACACACACATACATGTACTAACACTTGCTGACCGCGCGGCTCTCTTATATATATTTTATATATATAACCTACTTATCTGTGTGTATTTAATTAAATTTTTTGTCTGAAATCTTGTTGATACGACGGGCTGACCGGTCAACACTGATTTAAGACACAGTACACAGATGAAGTAGTTATGTCTCATGCCTTACGTAGCCGTGGAGCCAGCGCCTGGATGAGTCAAGCGGATGATAGTCCCGCAGAGATGGATGACCAGGCCGGCCCAGCTCCCACAACATCGCGCAGCCCTTCACCTCAACATTCAGCGTTATCTCCAGAGATAATTGCCTTAATGAAGTTTATGAGAGATGAGAGACGCGAGGATGAAGCTCACAGACGTTTGGCGGATGAGCACAGAAGGCAAGCAGAGGCAGAACGAGACCACCAACGGAGAATGGAAGACAGTGCACGGTTTGAAGCCTTGATATCTCGCCTCACTGTTAACCAAGCCCCTGGCTCTAACACTGCCTCGGTACTGAATGGTTCAGATACCTCGTCCATGCTTCCTTCACGCCCCCCAGCCCCACCTAAAGCAGCAGCTCAAACACCGCCCATCTTGGAGCCTGATGTAAATTTCCAGACTTGTCGCGAATGGCGGCGGCGGTGGGCTGATTATGCTACAATGGTGGATCTCCAGAGTTTGTCACAGCCTAAACAACTCATCCAGCTCATGCTGTGAGTTCAAACATTTTAACCCTCTTCTAAGCTACATCTGCTGGGAGGTACTGGACGTTCTACAACGGCACATCAAAGGACAGCAGAATGAGGCTCTGCGCAGGAGGGAATTGTTTAGCTGCAGACAGATGGAGGGTGAGTCTTTTGACGCTTTTTATGTACGTCTTAAGAGAGCCTCGGAAGAGGTAGATATATGTTTAGGCCACCACCAGCAGTGCGAGGAGACCCAGTTGAAGCAGGTGATCTTGATGGGTGTTAAGGATGAGGAACTTGTCCAACGCCTCACCTCCCTCGACTCTTCCTCTTCTCTTCAGGATGTGTTGACGATATGTCGCTCCTATGAGGCTGCCAGGTGTGCCACCTCTGCCATCCGAGCTCCCCCTACAGCTGTACGCGCTGTGTCCCGGTACAAGAAGGACAAGAAGTCTGCTCCTACGCCTTCGCCCACCACGTCCACGCCCGGTTCATTTTGTAACAACTGTGGTAAGCACCACGGAACACAGGTGTGTCCAGCTGCTCAGTCTACCTGCAACAGTTGTGACCGTATGGGCCACTGGTCGCTCACAGTGCGGTGCCCAGCTAAGTACGTACAGTGCAATGTGTGCGGTCGTCTGGGCCACTATGACAAGTGTTGCCCTACCCACGAACCCAAGGGACAGCGTCGGCGGAAGCTTCGGCGCCCTTCTACCAGTGAGGGCCGCCCACAGTCTCCCAATCAGAGGCACGACGACCCTGGACAACGCTGGAGCCATATTAGGAATGTGTACTCCTCGCATCCCAGGACCAAAGTCCCCCAGTACATCAGCGTCATCGTGACCTACGGCGGTGTGTCATCCCGTCTTCAGATGTTGCCCGACACCGGCGCTGATGCTACAGTCATCGGTCCCCAGCATTTGCGATGCTTGGGGCTCTCTCCAAGCGATCTAGGACCGCCTCCCGAGGACCTCTGCGTCACGGCAGATGGTTCACAGATGGCCCCAGCCCTGGGTTCACTCTATGCACATGTCACCTTTGGCAACAGGTCGTGTCAGGCCTGGATTGACGTGCATAACGGTGTCCCGACTCCTTTGCTGTCCTACAGACATTGTCAAGAGTTGGCCATCATCTCCCAGGACTTCCCCAAACCTATTCTTGAGGTAAGACACGCCAACAGGGTGCACGAAGGGAGCAGCAACTACCCTGCTGCCGCCCTACCCCTACCTCTGGCCAGTGACACCTCTCCTTCGGTAGTTGTCCCTGCTGCATCACGTCCCCACGCCTTGGCTCGCCTTCACGACAGCCACCGTGGAGCTGAGGCCACCAAACGACGTGCACGACAGACTGTGTTCTGGCCCGGCATCAACTCCGACATCTCCAATGTTGTCCGTGCGTGTGAGCCCTGCCAAGTATTACAACCCAGCCAGCAGCAGGAACCCTTCATGAGTGACGACAACCCCACCCGCCCCTTTGAGTCTGTGTCGGCCGACTTTTTCTGTGTGTCAGGAAAGTCCTTCCTTGTTATCGTCGACCGTCTCTCTGGTTGGCCGGTTGTCATCAAGTGCGGTAATGACACGACGTCTGCCGCCACCATCAGCAAGTTCCGCCACTACTTCCGTGACGTGGGCGTTCCTGTGCGCCTGCGAACCGACGGAGGGCCCAGTTCACAAGCCGGGACTTTGCTGTGTTCCTTGACCGATGGGGAGTCCGGCATGTGTTGTCATCGCCCCATTACCCGCAGTCCAACGGGCCACGCTGAGGCTGCTGTCAAATCCCTGAAGCACCTCATCCTTAAGGTGGCCTTCTGGGAACATTGACTCGAGGCCTTCGACCGGGGTCTTCTGAGAACTCCAACACACCTAACTTCACCGGA